CGAACATTCTACAGTGGTATAATTTTATTTAATTTGTCAAATGTGGAATTTGTGGATGGTTGAACAGTTCGTACAGTCCCATGCAAAATCTGTCTGATATTTATACTCCGAATTTAAACCTATTTGGACAGTAAATAAGCACGTCACAATAGGTAATTGTTATATAGTGCCCCGGACAAGAACTAAAATGGGAAACATCCAATAAAATAAAAATGCATGTCTCCATATACAACAGGAATACGGTTTGAAATTTCACGAGACTAAGCAAGATGTCTTTAAAGCTTCTTGAAAAAAACACACACTAGAAACAGACACGGTGTTTTCGTTTACGTAATAAATATGGATTAAACGTTGTCCTGATTTTGTAATAGATATCAGTGAATATCCAATATTGGTTCGTTTGACATATATTAATTGATTCAAAATTGGAGTAAATTCAGAGATAGTGATCACAGCCTGTGACTTAATTGTTTAATGTGTTGTAATTAATTGCTCTATTATTTAATTTCCTGACATGTGATGTATAATTATATAACGCGTGATATAATTCTCTGGTCTATAATGCTAATGTGTAACTGTGTTGTAATTATCCGTAATTGAGTCACATATTATATAATTATTAGATCTAAGATGTAACTGAAAAACATGTGATGTAATTATCTGATCCGTGGTATAATTAAATAACGTGTGATGTAATATGCAACTGATGATGTAATTATCTGATCTGTGATTTAATGTGGTGTAATTGTATAACATGTGGTGTAAATATATGATTTGTGATATAACCTGTGATATAATTATCTGACCCATGTTGTAATCTTTTGATGTAGTTATTTAATATGGGGTGTAATGGCCTGATTTGTCATTATCTGACCTGTGATGTTTTATACCCTGTGGTGTCAATATTTGACCTGTGATGTTTTATACCCCGTGGTGTCAATATCTGACCTGTGATGTTCTATATCCCGTGGTGTCAATATCTAACCTGTGATGTTTTATACCCCGTGGGTTTTATACCCGTGGTGTCAATATCTGACTTGTGATGTTTTATACCCCGTGGTGTCGATATCTGACCTGTGATGTGTTATACCCCGTGATGTCAATATCTGACCTGTGATGTGTTATACCCCGTGTGTCAATATTTGACCTGTGATGGTTTATACACCGTGGTGTCAATATCTGACCTGTGATGTGTTATACCCCGTGGTGTCAATATCTGACCTGTGATTTTTTATATCCTGTGGTGTCAATATCTGACCTGTGATGATTTATACCCAGTGGTGTCAATATCTGA